CCCCAAAACCCCAAAACCCCAAAACCCCCAAAACCCCAAAACCCCGAATTGAATATTGAGATAAAATAAGGTGAATTGATCAAAATATAATCTTAAATAAATCAAAAATATGGAAGCCTCAGATAAAAAACAGTTCACATCAATCAAGACTTAAATTGAGAAAATCGTAGATGATAAGGTCGATGAGATCTTTAAAGACTACAATTATGATGGTTAGAATGCTTAGGAGAAGTCAAACCAAGTCGCAGAAGCTATAGTAAAGGAGGCTCAATAACTTGCTAGTAAAAATTTTAAATTGCAGGCCATCGCAATGGTTCTTAATAAAGAGACATCAGGCTTCCATTTGAGCGCCTCATGCTACTGGGACTCAACTTAGGACGGCAACATCAACAAGAAGTTTGATAAGTTTGAAACTTTCTATGTGATCATTACATTATTCGGTATATCAAGAGCATGAGAGTGAAATTAGAGTTTGATTATAAGACAAAGCATTCTGGCATTCGTATATTGTTAAAGAATGCAACATATCTTCTTTATAGTTAGTGTTTTCATTTAAATATTAAATCAAAAAGATAAATATTCACTATCTTCAATACTTTTTATATTTTTATTACTATACAGTTAAGTCTCAGTAAGAATATAATCCAACTATTCATCTGTCTCCTCAGTTTAGAATTCTGAAAGTAGAGCTTTTTCTTCATCTGTGAAAGAGTTATCAATCTGTATTTTCTATGCCTCAAACGCCATGCCAATTTTAAGAATTTCCCTTTTTTCTGTGATTCTGAGTTTGTGAATAGTTCTATCGTAAAAGCCTCCTCCATAGCCTAGTCTGTGGCATTTATTGTTAAAAGCTACTAATGGTACCAAAAGTACATCAGGGATTAGTAATTCCTAATCATCTTTGGGTTCAAATACTTTCAATTTTCCTTATTAAATTAGCTAATCACCTGGACTCCATTTCCTGAATATTAATGGTTAACCTGGAGCAACTACGATTGGCAGACAAATATTGAAGAGTTTATCATTAAAATACCTCAAAATGGGAACCAGGTTTAATTCCATAGCTAATGGCCAATAACCCCCAATCACTATTCTATTATTAATTAGGCTTTTATTTGTGGCTACCTATACATCCTATGAGAATCTCACTTATTTTTATGAAATAATGTTTTTTATCAATCTTTCAATCTGATGACAATAATTTTTCACATAGAAGTCATCCGTTAACAAAGATTTGTTATGTATTAAGAAATCTTGCCTTCGAGTCTTAAATAGTAATCGAAGTTTCTTTTTGATGATTATTTATTGCGCGTTTCTTTCCATTGAAATTTCTATGTATAATTAAATTTGAAAAAAAAAACACTCATTGCCTTTAATTATTTATTTATGAGTATTCTCATTAATTTACTAACTTGGGGTTTTGGGGTTTTGGGGAGATCGGAAGAGCACACG